CACAGACACACACACACAGACACACACAGACACAGACAGACACAGACACACACACAGACACACACCCACACACCACACAGACACAGCACACACACACACACACACACACACAACACACACACACACAGACACAGCACACACACACACACTCACACACACACACTCAGACACAGACACACACCACACACAAACAACACACTCTCACAGATATACACAGACACACGCACACACACAGCGTCTGCTTTAATGTATACGCCCACTCTCACCTGCGGTCACATGACAGTTACTTTCATTTTCTTCTACATATTCTTCTCCTTGTCACCAAGGTCACCGGTGACTCCAAGTTTTCCCAGCTCCCTCCTCCTTCGCCCTCCTTCCATCGCTCCGCCCCTCCCACCTCTTCGCCCTGATGGCCTCATGAATCATCCCGTCTTCCCCATCGAACTCTCCGACGCCTCTTTCCTACCACAGCCACCCCAACTTCCCCAATCCTTCTTCATTCCCGCTAACAATTTGGTAATGAAATATTGATTTTTAGTTAGATTCAAATGGATGTTATTAACTTTGCATTGATAAATTGTTCTCTCTTTCTCCTGGTCTCTCCCTCTCTGTGTTTTGGATAGAGTGCCGGTAGTAACAGCTGATTAACAGTAAAGCCTGCAGGCCTGATTTTCTTCATGACCTACACGGCTCCTTTTAGAGGCCACTCCCTGTTTACCTCCCATAGACGTGCACTCTTTCACCTCCCTGCATTAAAAGCTGTGAATATATACTGATTACCTCCTTCGGCCAATGACACGGGCTCGGAGCGTGTTTTATTGAATGCTGCAGACTCCGATGAAGTGCCCTTTTCAGAGTGAGTCATGCGTGGCATTGCAGCGTCCTCTCCAGCTCAAACATGATCGCTCTATCAGTGCACAAAGAAGTGTTTAGAAGAGAAAAAGGAAATAGGTTGTGTTTCGGTAAAGGTGGCTCACAGAAATGTAAAAATGAAAGAGTAAATGAACAAAAGCAAAGACAACAATAGAAACGAGGACTCGTTCTGCTCGTTTCCAGCTCCTTTTTTAACTTCTTCTTGAGCAGCTTTGCATGAGTCACCGCTCAGAGTAACCCTTCTTTATCTGACACCGCGGCTCCTCTGACAATCGCTTTCTTCTGATTGGCGGATGAGCCGTCATTGTGGTTTGGTGCTATATAAAGGCGTCCGTCCTCTGGCTCGTTATATCTCAAACAGAAGAACAAAAACTCGAGCAGTGTCTTTCCTCCTGTTTAACCTCCAGATGTTTCTGGATTGTCCTTTGTGTGCATGATTCTGCTCAGACATCTGGACCCGGGAGTGATTGTTTCACGTGCTCACTGAGCGAGTGAGTGAGGCCGGATGCTAATGATGGTAAAGTAATGACATTTCATTTCACTTTCTGAAATACAACACGTGTGCTTCCTGCTTGCTACGCCGGACATCGCCACACACTTTCACAGCTTCATGCACATGCCACCGCAGCCGTCCCACCCCCACTCCCGTCCGCTATTTAAACCAGCTATCTGACACAAGATGGACGTGGCGGACAGGCAGAGCCCAGGGGACGCAACCGAGGTTGCATATGAGGCGTCCGTTACCAAGAAGGCCATTTACATTTCTCTCTGCGCATTTTCACTGACAGCGACACAATTTCCTGTTCCGTCTGGCGAGCTTTTGACTGCGAGTCAGGGACTGAAATGTAATCTTTGGGTTGGCGGCGTGCTCGGACTCCCCAGAGTATTTCCACACCAAAACCTTAAAGTCTGCTCGGGTAATCTTTTATTCCGGAGGTCTGGGCTGTTCTTCAGCTCCAGAGATGGTGGAGCACTTTAAACCAGGCTGAATAATGTCACAGCTGTGAGATTACTCCACTGCAGAACCATCCACAAAACCTGGACGCCACCACTACAAAGCATGGGCAGAAAAGCAGGGGCTTTGTTTGAGATGCTCACTATATGGATTTTAATATTAAGAGTCTCTAATAATAAATCGACACCATCGTAATAAACACAGTTTTCTCCTCTGAAAGCCGTTTAATTTAATGTGTACTAAAAGACCAAACAGCGCAGTCTGAGCGCGTCGCCTTTATTGTGCTTTAACGACAGCTTCTCCAAACTTTTCTGTTCGCCTCCTGCTGATGGAACATCACGAGGAGCTCGTTTTATACCCCATAAATCTGTGTACCTCCTTTATGAAGCATCTTTTCAGGAAGAGACTATTTTACCTGCGAATGAAGAAAGTTACTTCTGAATATTTATTTCTGCGGCGTTACGAGTGTGCGAGTCGACCTGGACCGGAGCCGGGGACGAGGTGTTTGAGGTCATGTTGATTTCTCAGGAGAAATGCTCTCGATGGGCTTTTGTAACGAGGAAACACGATCGCTCCGTGCTGCCACTGTGATTTATGTTCAGACAACAAATCACTGAGCCTCAAACATCATGACGCTGTGCACGCCGTGCACTCGGTGACGGTGAGTGGCACAATTTAAATAGATATGCGACTTATCTGTGCTGCTGATACGAGGAAATGTGGAGGATTTCTGCTGCGGAAAGCTGCCGGCTGTTTATTGAGGACAAAATTACATCTTCAGCCAAATCAAACGTTCTCTTTAGTCACTCTGAGCTGTCTGGGCTATTGCTGCTCAATAAAAAAAAACAGCAGTAACCACAGAGGCTTGTGGGTCGTACAGGTGTGAGCAGGTAAAGTCAGGGCTCGATGCAGACCCACTTTCACTGAGACAAGCAGAGAAGCTTTCTGCAGAGAGTCTGAGACAACAAACCTCCACCAAAGCTGAACGCTGTCGTCTGTACTCATGAAGGCACAACCCCAAACGTTCTCACGATCATGGTACAACAAAAAACAGCTGACTGTTTAGATTCTTTTTCTGGGATTCACGGAAAGAAAAGAAGAATCAGCTGATTCCAGATTCACCGACATGTGAAGCGGGTTTTAGTCTCAGCTTACCTGAGGTTACATATGTGCTGGTTAACACGCCAGAGGAAGCAGAGCATGATTGTCCAGTATAGTGTCCTGTTGTTTCTGTTGTTTCTCCTACGACAGCGTGACCTTTGTTAGGTTCAGAAACACCCTCCCCCCGCCGCCTGGCTCAGCGATATAAGGACACATTAAATCAAGATAGGACTGCTCTATTAGGAAGGGAGACTGTCTCATGCTACATGTAGATAACCTTGTGTTATTAGCTCCCTGATGGCCAATCAATACAGCACTTCCTAGCTGCTGAGGATGAACCAAGTCCCTCACCTAGATAATCATCTCTTACTGTCTGAAGCTGAATAATTGGGGGCCTCTCAATCCCAGCGTTGTTGACAGGAATGCTTTGCATATTAAAAACGCTGCACTAACAGTCTATCACTCTGAACAGAGCATAAACATGCATATACATAATATTTGGAGATAATTGAGCTGGGATGCATTCCCGAACCCAGAGGAACCAAAATAGCTCGATAAAACGAGGCCGGGATGTATGGAAGGACTGCTGTTTACGACTGTCTCAGGAAGACAAGTGCAGCAGCGAGCCGAGTCTCTGAAGGCCGTTTCTCTGTGGAGTGGAGACATCATCTTCCCACTGAGCAGCTGGTCCCCAGCCGGTGGGACTGACATGGATGATGACGGTGATGATGTTTAAACGAAACGCTCCCTGTCCATCTGTCCAAGCTTTTACTGCTTGTCTGTGTTCTCGCTTCCTCGTGTGACCACAGTCTCGGGTTATCCATTTCCTGTTCTACTCATAATACCTTGTGATGTCACGTATTCAAACAATAAAGAGCGGCAGTGAAGTAAAGAAGCTGCCTTCAGAGCTGCCATACTTACTTCTCTCAGTGAGTCTCTTTAATTACAGCAATCAGTGACGCAAACATCTAAATGCATTCAGGGAGATCACAGAGGCACCCTAAAAGAACACCACCGAATATAACCCAAAGACGAGTCTCTCTGCTGAGGTGCTTATGGGACAAGGCGTTAGAGAAGCTCAAACAGAACAGATGTTTTGATCCTTCCAGTTGTTTTTGTTAAACTCTTCAAAGAAATAATTTTCTCCCAGGCAAGAAATTAAATTCCACCACTGTATGTCTCTTTTTGTCCCGTCTCCCTCCCCTCACCCCAAACAATGGCCGCCCCTTACTGTGCCTGGTTCTGCTGGAGGTTTCTTCCTGTTAAAAGGGAGTTCTTCCTTCCTTCTGTCATTAAGTGCTTGCTCATTGGGGCGTTCATCTCTGTATTACTGTAGAACAACAGTATAAAGCACTTTGAGGTGACAGTTTGATTTGATTTGGCACTATATAAATAAAACTCAATTGAATTGAAATGTGACCACTGATATATTACTTCTCTGTGTTATATGAGTCAAAGGTATATGGACAAAATGGTGATGGGTAATAGGTGACGGGATATAGTAGTGGTGGACAAGCAGAGGAAGACGGCTGTGATGCAGTGATACTGAATGACAGGAACATCAGGAAGAAGGAACACGAGAAACTGGAGAAATACCAAGGGCTCAGAGAAGAGCTCGAGAAGATGTGCAGGGTGAAGGTAACAGTGGTCCCAGTGGTACCCTATAATTTTCTTGGGGATTAATAAAGTATTTCTGATTCGGATTCTGAATCAGAGCACTAGGTGCAGTGACTCCCAAGCTAGCCGAGTGGCTCCAGCAGATCCCAAGAACAACATCAGAGATCTCTGTCCAGAGAGCGCAGTCCTAGGAACACCCTCAAGCTCCCAGGCCTCTGGTAGAGGACCCAAGCTTGAAGGACAACAGGCCGCCCACAGGGGCGACAGGGGAATTAATTTTTTTTTATATGTGGCACTATTATAAAGATAAATACATGAAAATATTTGCCCCCAATTTTATTTTTATGCTTAAAGTCACTTTCTTAGGAAAGACTACTGTTATTGTCTATTGTGCTGTAATATATGTTTCGCCAGCAGAGGGCGCTCAGTGTCTTACGCATCAGCAGCTGACAGCTCAGTAGAAGAAGTGTGGTCAGTACGTGTTGAGGCAGCGTACAGCCCATGTACCGAGTGGCTTTTGTTAACCTGCCTTCTCTGTTTTTTACAGGTAAGCTGGGTTGAAAATAATATATAAGTTATAGACAAAAGTAGCAATCAATCATAAACGTCTTACAGTGTAACAGATGTCAAGCTAAAGAGTGAATTCACGAGTTTAAGGGTTCGTAAAAATGAATCGCCACCAGATGTCTGCAAAAATGGCGGACTTGCAGTCCGTGGCGATCGTGGTAATGAACCCGAGAACTGTTTCATGTTTTTGTGAGTTAAAAGGATATAAGCTAACTACTGAGGGATGTACGTGACGACAGTGAAAACACGAGCTTATGGCCAAACCTTCTTTGAACAGAGTCAATGTGTGGAAACGGAAATGCTAAGCTAAATGTAGAGTCAGGCTAATGGAGCACACGTGTTACTATCCGGTTGTTCAGTCTGACGTCACTAGCCGTGTCTGGG